CAAAGAGCATTCCGAACCCCACCAACGATGGAATTGAACCAAACTAGGCACACAGTTCTCCCATGACCAACAGAAAATACTGGAAGGGTTTGGTGGGCAGTGTCCTTTGGTTTTGGAGTTGTAGTTCACCTACATCCAGAGAGCAGTATGGATTCAAAAAATGATGGATCTAGACCTAACTTGACAAGAATACTCAATATGTCCAAATGTGAACACTGGTAGGATTTGGGGGAATTAGACTTTGACATTTGGGAGTTGTAGTTGCTGGGATGTATAGTTCACCTACAATCAAAGAGCATTCGGAACTCCACCAACACTGGAATGGAACCAAATTTGCACACAGAACTCCATGACTAACAGAAAATACTGGAAGGATTTGGTGGGCGTTGACCTTGAGTTTTGGAGTTGTAGTTCACCTACATCCAAACAGCGGTGTGGACTCAAACAAGGATGGATCTGGACTTAACTTGACGAGAATACTCAATATGCCCAAATGTGGACACTGGTGGAGATTGGGTGAAACAAACCTTGACATTTGGGAGTTATAGTTGATGGGATTTATAGTTCACCTACAACCAAAGAGAATTCTGAACCCCACTGATGATAGAATTGGGCCAAATTTCCCACACGGAACCCCCATGACCAACAGAAAATACTATGTTTTCTGATAGTTCTTGGTGACCCCTCTGAAACCCCCTCATGGCCTCTGATCCCCAGGTTGAGCAACACTGACCTCGTAGTATCTGACTGCTTCCTGGAAGAAGCAAGAACTCCTATGGGTTTAGGTTTAATCTATCACCAAGATAACAAATATGTCTCCAAAAAACAACCCACTCCCAGATTCTTTTTTCCTACCAAACTTTGACATTCCCGCAAGGCTTGTGAAAGTTTGCCAATGAGGCCACAGGAACCCAAGCAAGAATGAAAGACATCCAGTGAACATACACAGAGTGCCTTCTGATGATCAAACGGTCACCACGGCCAATGGCCACACGAGAGCCACAACTTTCCAAGAAGTAAAAGCAGAAATCATCTGTCTGTGTTTAAAAATCTCCAATAATAATGATGATGATGATGATGGAGTATCATGAAGTTCGAAGAGACCCTCTTCTGCCATGCAGAAAAGGCACTATCAAAGCACCCCTGACAGATGGCTATCCAGCCTGAGTTTAAAAACCTTCAATAATAATAATAATGATGATAATGATAATAATGATGATGATGATGAAGAATCATGACGTTCGAAGAGACCCTCTTCTGCCATGCAGAAAAGGCACCATCAAAGCACCCCTGACAGATGGCTATCCAGCCTCTGCTTCAAAGACTCCAAAGAAGGAGCCTCAACCACACTCTGGGGCAGAGAGTTCCACTGCTGAACAGCTCTCACAGTTAGGAAGTTATTATTACTGAAGAACGACGGAGTTGGGAGGGAGCCTCTTCTACCATGCAGGAAAAGCACAATCAAAGCATGCCCAACAGATGGTCATCCAGCCTGTGTTTAAAAACCTTCAATAATAATAATAATAATAATAATAATAATAATAATAATAATGGAGAATCATGGAGTTTGAGGAGACCCTCTTCTGCCATGCAGAAAAGGCACTATCAAAGCAACCCTGACAGATGGCTATCCAGCTTCTGTTTCAAAGCCTCCAAAGAAGAAGCCTCCACCGCACTCTGGGGCAAAGAGTTCCACTGCTGAACAGCTCTCACAGTCAGGAAGTTCTTCCTCATGCTCAGGTGGCATCTCCTTTCCTGTCATCTGAAGCCATTGCTCCATTGTGTCCTAGTCTCCAGGGCTTCCTCCTCTCTACAACTTCCCCTCGCCTCTTGATCCCTGTCTCCTTTCAGTCTTTTCTTCTGCAGGCTAAGCGTGCCCAGCTCTTTCAACCACTCCTCATTGGGCTTGTTCTCCAGACCCTTGATCCTTTGTGTTGCCCTCCTCTGGACACCTTCCAGCTTAGAGTCAACAACTCCCTAATATTATGGCACAGTGTGATTCCAGGTGTGGTCTGACCAAGGCAGAATACAGCATGGAGAGCAACTAATCACCTCTCAAGAAAAGATTGCCCCAGGCACTGCTAATCAAGGTGGTCAGTTGAAATATTCACACCTAGCTCCAGCAGACAAGAGTTCTTTGTCCCACCCTGGACATCATTCCACAGATATATAAACCCAATTTTCCTAGGTCCAACAGACCTCACTACCTCTGAGGATGTTTGCAATAGATGCAGGCGAAACGTCAGGAGAGGATGCCTCTAGAACATGGCCATATAGACCGAAAAAACAACCCATGGAGATTATGACTTCCCTGGATCTTTGCAGCAAGCTGAGTAAGTGAGGACATTTATAGCAAGGCAGGCGTTTAAAAACCCCGCGCAAACCAAGCACTGAAATTCATCATCCGCTTGCAAACCAAAACTTTTGACTCCGGACTGCAGAGTAGAGCAGAGAGGGCTGGAAGACGATGTAAAATCCAGAAAGGCTGAGATGTCTTTCCAAATCTCGCCCCAGGATTCATTGGGACAAGTCTCTCCTGTCGAGAAACACTCTTCGAGAAACATAGCTCCGCAAGCACGGAGATTTACTTCTCTCTCAATGCGTGTGCTCTTTGAAAGCAGGGCAAGCAGAGACGAATACAATCTATCTATATAAATAAAAATGTAATGTTCGTTTGTGGGATTAACAGAACTCAAAAACCACTGGGCGAATGGCCGCCAAACTTGGACACAATACACCTAACAACCTAATGTATGTCCTTCACTAAAAAAAAAAAAGATTTTGTCATTTGGGAGTTGTAGTTGCTGGGATTTATAGTCCACCTACAATCAAAGAGCATTCTGAACCCCACCAATGATGGAATTGAACCAAACTTGACACACTGTACAATGTCCCTACTTCACGGATTTTCACTTTTTGCAGGTGGTTCTGGAACGTAACACCTGCGATAAGTGAGGGAACATTGTATAGCATCCCCTACTTTGTGGAGGAAACACTGTAGTCCAATCTAGAGGTACCTAGATTGTATAGCATCCCTACTTTGTGGATTTTCACTTTTTGCGGACAGTCCTGGAACGTAACACCAGCGATAAGTGAGAAAACACTGCAGTCCAATCTAGAGGTACTAGATTGTATAGCATCCCTACTTCATGGATTTTCACTTTTCGCAGGAGGTCCTGGAACGTAACACCAGCGGTAAGTAAGGAAACACTGTAGTCCAATCTAGAGGTACCTAGATTGTATAGCATCCCTACTACACAGATTTTCACTTTTCGCGGGTGGTCCTGGAACGTAACACCAGCGATAAAGTGAGGGAACACTGTACAGCGTCCCTGCTTCATGGATTTTCACTTTTCACGGGAGGTCATTGAACGTAACACCAGCGAAAAGTGAGGGAACACTGTACAACTTCCATACTTCACGGATTTTCACTTTTCACGGGTGGCTCTGGAACGTAATATGAGCGATAAGTGAGGAAACACTGTAGTCCAATCTAGAGGTACCTAGATTGTATAGCATCCCTACTTCGTGGATTTTCACTTTTCGCGGGCGGTCCTGGAACATAGCACCAGCAACAAGTAAGAAAACACTGTAGTCCAATCTAGAGGTACCAAGATTATATAGCATCCCTACTTCGTGGATTTTCACTTTTCGCAGGTGGTCCTGGAACGTAACACCTGCAATAAGTGAGGGAACACTGTACAATGTCCATACTTCACGGATTTTCACTTTTCGCGGACAGTCCTGAAACGTAACACCAGCGATAAGTGAGGAAACACTGTAGTCCAGTCTAGAGGTACCTAGATTGTATAGCATTCCTACTTCGTGGATTTTCACTTTTTGCGGGCGATCCTGGAACGTAACACCGGCGATAAGTGAGGAAACACTGTAGTCCAATCTAGAAGTACCTAGATTGTACAGCATCCCTACTTCGTGGATTTCCACTTTTTGCGGACGGTCCTGGAACGCAACACCAGCGATAAGCGAGGGAACACTGTACAGCATCCCTACTTCACGAATTTTCACTTTTCGCGGGTGGTTCTGGTACGTAAAACACCAGCGATAAGTGAGGAAACACTGTAGTCCAATCTAGAGGTAACTAAGCCACCGGCATCCACAACTCACCAGGACTGAATGCAAGGGGGGAGAATGGAAATCAAGGAGAGGTGAGGCCAAGTGGAGATGTAAAGGTCCACTTTCTCCCCGTCCCTTCCCTCCAGTTCCTTGAGGACGCAGCCGCTCCATCGTCACCGCCGTCCGTCCTCCTCCTCCTCCTCCTCCTCTCCTCGGCCCGTCTGAGTGACGCAGGCCAGCCTTATATAATAGGGCTGCGATGATTTCCTAGACCGCAAGGAAGGCCTCCCCTCCCCATCCAGCCTGTAATGATGCCCCCCCCCTCCGTTTCCATTCCTGCCACCGCTTTGTGCTCCGGCGGGCGGCGCACAGGCGCAATCGCGAGAGCCTCCCAGCCCTGGGTGGCACGGTGCCAGCGCTTTCCCCCTTCGTTGTCGTCAGCTGGCCACCTCCATTCACAGACTGGGGTTGGCGCTGACACGAAACGAAGGCGTGTGTGTGTGTGTGTGTGTGGGGGGGGGGTCCATGGGGTGGAGGAGGGGGGGTGAGGGTGAAGGCAAAAGAGAGACAGAAAGGCGGTCCAGGGGGGTGGGTGGGTATGGGGGGCATTCCATCATGTTGAGAACCAGACAATAGAATGCCATGCTCCTAAAATTGCCCACCTTTCCTCTTCCTCCTCCCCTTGCCCCCCCCCACCCCAAAATAACCTTCCAAATGCAATGGGATGAATGGTTCTACTACTAAGACCTCATCATGATAAAGAGAAGAAGCTCATGGCAACAAAAGGATAATATTAATTATTTTTGGGAAGGGGGGGCATTAAAGGATAATAATCCCTAAACAGCCCTTTGTTTAAGGTGGAGAGGAAGAGGAAGGAAGGAAGGGGCTTTTTTCCCCCCCTCCTCCCTGAGCCAAAGAATACTTACAGGTAGCGTGTTCCCTCGACTTGACAAGAGGAGGGGAAAGGAGACAGGCAGGCGGAGGGTTTGGGAGGGGGGAGTGCCAGGGGGCTGCTTGGTTTTCAGGGCAAGCCCCCTCCTCGGCAACCGCGGTGGAAGGTGGGCGGCCACGGGGTGTTGCCATCCCCCTCCAGGGACCTGCCGGAACCCAGTCGCGGAACGGGCACGTCCCTGCCAATCATCCGTGGTGCCGTTATATTAAACAAAAGGAAAGAGAGAGAGAGAGAAAAAAGGGGGGGATGCTTACTTTTACCCATGATGCCTAGCGGGGGCAGGGGAGAGAGAGGGGGGGGGGGGAGAAAAAAATATAAAACCAGTTGCAGCCGGTTTGTAACCTCAGGACATGGAATTATCGCTTTGAAAAAAAAAAATTAAGTTGGTTGTGGCATAGGAGAGAGAGCCAGTGAGAGGACGAGGTCTCCCCGCTTTGCCCGCCTCCCCGCCTGACATGACAACTTCCAGCACTGGGTTGCCCCCCCCCCCCCCACAAATGCCTGAAAAGACGACACTGGCCCCTGGCCAAACTTTGCTTCTCATTCATAAGTCTGGGCTTCTTGGTCTCTATTATGCCTCCCCACTCCTGAATTAACCCAAATGGATGGAAAGAATACAGGAGGTGAACTGGGGGCGATGCATTGGGAAGGGGTCCCTATCCTCGGACATCTTCAACCTGGAACCCAAAGAAGGACCATCTCACGAAAGGAAATCGACCCACGTCCCCTTTTGAGATGCAATTTGAGAGTCGCAAAGGCAACTCGACTCAAGCCAAATACAACGGTCCATTTGGTTACCCCTTCATTTTTGTCAATGGGACACTTGGCTAGGCCATACCTGTGAGAGCACATCTCTCTTGGTGTAAATCAGTGGTTCCCCATCTGTTTTTGACTACTGACCACTTGAGTAGGGACCACTTTGACCTGGGACGACTTTGACCAGGAACCACTTTGACCAGGGACCTTTTGAATATGGACCACTTTAACCAGAGATGACTTTGACCAGGGACTACTTTGACCAGGGACCACTTGAACAGGGACCACTTTGATCAGGAACAACTTTGACCAGGGACCTCTTGAATAGGAATCACTTTGACCAGGAACCACTTGAACATGGTCGACTTGAACAAGGACCACTTTGACCAGGCGCCACTTGACCAGAAACCACTGACCAGGGACCACTTTGACCAGAGACCACTTTGACCAGGGACCACGTTGACCAGAGATCAATTTAACCAGAGACCAATTTGATCAGGGACCACTTTCACCAGAGACCACTTTCACGAGGGACCACTAGACCAGAAACCACTGACCAGGGACCACTTTGACCAGGCACCACTTTCACCAGGGACCACTTTGACCAGAGACCACTTTCACCAGAGACCACTTTGATCAGGGACCTCTTGACCAGGGACCACTTGACCAAAAACCACTGTCCAGGGACCACTTTGATCAGAGACCACTTTGACCAGGGATGACTTTGACCAAGGACTACTTTGACCAGGAACCACTTTAACAAGGGACCACTTTGACCAGATAACACTTGACCAGGGACCTCTTGAATAGGAATCACTTTGACCAGGAATCACTTGAACATGGACGACTTGAACAGGGACCACTTTGACCAGGCACCACTTTGACCAGGGACCACTTGACCAGAAACCACTGCCCAGGGACCACTTAACCAGGGATGACTTTGACCAGGAACCACTTTGACTAGAGACCACTTTGACAAGAGATCGCTTTGACCAGGCACCACTTGACTAGGAACCAACTTGAATAGGGACCACTTTGACCAGGGACCACTTGTATAGGGGCCACTTTGACCAGGGACCACTTTGACCAGGAACCACTTTGACCAGGAACCACCTGAACATGGACGACTTGAACAGGGACCACCTCGACCAGGGACGCATGCTAGACACAGAGGAGCTAAAGTAGATGTGGCAAATGCTGGTGGCCTTTTCCCAGACCCCAAAGGCCACGGCATGGAGAACACTTGCCTTGCACTGAAAGCAGCATGGCAACTCATGGCTCAACTGAGTTTGCACTGGGCGGGATAATGCAAGGAAGGGGAGAAGGAGGGGAGAAGAGAGGCATGGGACGGATGCGCCCATGCGGCAGAACAAAGCGGCCGAGTCCTGAGGCGACAGCAGGGAGCAGGTGAGGAAAATGGCATCTCCGTCCATTACATAAGAATCTCTTTCCAAGTGGAAAAGCAGCGCACCAGGGAACACTCCGGACCGCGCAGTTGTGTTGTTACGTTGACATCCTGCATACGCAGCGCTCTTCCCCGACATCAGGGGTTCTCAACCTTCCCAATGCCATGACTCCTTAATACAGGTCCTCATGAACATGTACAATGTCCTCCACCAACACAACCCTGCCACCACCCAAGTCACGGCTTTCATTCAGAGACAATTTCATCTTAGCGTTTATGTGTTTCCTCCACCACAGGCATCCCAGTGTTTCTAACTCTAACTCTCCATATACTCATGTTCACCTGCAATCAATGAGCACTCTGAACTCCACCAAAGATGGCAACGGACCAAGCTTGGCACACAGAGGGGTTTGGGGGTCTGACTCCACATGATGGAAGTTGTAGTCCACCATGTAGAGCACTGTGATCCCTACCAACAATAGACCTGGACCACATTTGGCACACGGAACTCCCATGACCAACACAAAATACTGGAATTCATCTTGATTTATAGGAGTTGTAGGTCCTGGCATGTTGTGAGTTGTAGTTCACCCACAACCTTACGCAGTTTGGAAAATAATAATTAAAAAAATAATGTATTGTCGAAGGTTTTCATGGCTGGAATCACTAGGTTCTTGTGGGTTTTTTCGGGCTATAGAGCCATGTTCTAGAGGCATTTCTCCTGACGTTTCACCTGCATCTATGGCAAGCATCCTCAGAGGTTGAGAAGGTCCTTCTCAACCTCTGAGGATGCTTGCCATAGATGCAGGCGAAACGTCAGGAGAAATGCCTCTAGAACATGGCTCTATAGCCCGAAAAACCCCACAAGAACCTAAAAAAAATAATGACTTCTCCAAATAACCTGGGCTACGCTAGTGATAAATTAAAGAAGCAATTTTACCATCACCCAAAAATTCTGCAATGAAGACAAACTCTGTTCTGCAACCAGAATTACGCCACTTCAGTGCCTTCCCAGACTCAGGCTTGTAAGTAATTCACAATATCGGGTACTTTATTTGAAAATTAAACCTGATACTTGGAATACTGTGTCCAATTCTGGGCACCACAATTGCAAAGAGATATTGACAATCTGGAATGTGTCCAGAGGAGGGCGACTAAAATGGTCAAGGGTCTGGAGAACAAGCCCTATGAGGAGCGTCTTAAAGAGCTGGGCATGTTTAGCCTGAAGAAGAGAAGGCTGAGACGAGACATGATGAGGGCTTCTTCAGTAATAATAGTAAGTTCCTAACAGTGAGAGCTGTTCAGCAGTGGAGGCTCCTTCTATGGAGACTTAGAAGCAGAGGCTGGATAGCCATCTGTTGGGCATGTTTTGATTGTGCTTTTCCTTCATGGTAGAAGAGGGTCCCTCCCAACTCCATGATTCTTCAGTAATAATAACAACATCCTGACTGTGAGAGCTGTTCAGCAGTGGAACTCTCTACCCCAAAGTGTAGTGGAGGCTCCTTCTATCTATTTATTTATTTATTTATTTACTGCCCTTGTATACCGCCGTTTCTCAGCCTAACTGGCGACTCAACGCGGTTTACAACAAAATATACAGTGCACAGTATACAATTAAAACCATAAAAAACATAATACACAATATTACACGTAAATCACAATCCAATACATCTCCTAACTAAAATCGTGGTCCAATTGCATCATCCATATTACCAATCCGTAATCAACACATTCATTGCACCGAATTAACCAAATGCCTGCTTGAACATCTAAGTTTTTAGTCTTTTTATGGAGACTTAGAAGCAGAGGTTGGATAGCCATCTGTTGGGCATGCTTTGATTGTGCTTTTCCTGCATGGTAGAAGAGGGCCCCTCCCAACTCCATGATTATTCAGTAATAATAATAACAACTTCCTAACTGTGAGAGCTGTTCAGCAGTGGAACTCTTTGCCCTGGAGTGTGGTGGAGGCTCCTTCTATGGAAGCTTTGAAACAGACGCTTGACAGTCATCATACTATATGTGATTTATATGATTTGTATATTTTGATTGTTTATTAATGTTGTGTTATTGATGTTGTTTGATGTATTTCGGGCTTGGCTTCATGTAAACTGCACCGAGTCCCTTGGGGAGATGGTAGCGGGGTACAAATAAAATAATAATAATAATAATTATTATTATTATTATTATTATCTGTCGGGGATGCTTTGATTGTGCTTTCCTGCATGGTAGAAGAGGCTCCCTCCCAGCTCCATGATTCTTTAATAATAATAATAACAACAACTTCCTAACTGTGAGAGCTGTTCAGCAGTGGAACTCTCTGCCCCAGCGTGTGGTGGAGGCTCCTTCTATAGAAGCTTTGAAACAAACGCTTGATGTCCATCATATTATATGTGATTTATATGATTTGTATATTTTATTGATTGTTTATTAATGTTGTGTTATTGATGTTGTTTGATGTATTTTATTGATTGTTTATTAATGTTGTGTTATTGATGTTGTTTGATGTATTTCGGGCTTGACCTCATGTAAGCCGCAGCAAGTCCCTTGGAGAGATGGTAGCGGGGTACAAATAAAGATGATGATGATGATGATGATTATCTGTTGGGCATGCTTTGATTGTGCTTTTCCTGCATGGTAGAAGAGGGTCCCTCCCAACTCCATGATTCTTCAGTAATAATAATGACAACTTCCTAACTGTGAGAGCTGTTCAGCAGTGGAACTCTCTGCTCCGGAGTGTGGTGGAGGCTCCTTCTACGGAGGCTTCGAAACAGAGGCTGGATGGCCATTTGTCAGGGGTGCTTTAATGGTGCCTTATCTGCATGGCAGAAGAGGGTCTCTTCGAACTCCATGATTCTCCATCATCATCATCACCATCATCATCATTACTATTATTATTGGAGGTTTTTAAACACAGGCTGGATGCCCATCTGTTGGATATGCTTTAATTCTTCAGTAATAATAATAACAACTTCCTAACTGTGAGAGATGTTCAGAGGTGGAACTCTCTGCCCCGGGGTGTGGTGGAGGCTCCTTCCATGGAAGCTTTGAAACAGATGCTGGATGGCCATCTGTTGGGGATGCTTTGATGGTGCTTTTTCTGCATGGCAGA